AAAAAAAAAAAAAAAAAAAAAAAAAGATTGTTGCTTACTCACATAAAATAATAAGTAAACATTTGCATAATATTAAAAACAAAGAAAACATATTTGGTGTTTTAAACTTAAAATTAACTCTCAGTTTAATTGTTTTATGAGTGTTGTTTGTCCCATTTTTGTGTCTTTATTTTGGGTTCATTTTCCTTTTATTTTCCCCATTTATAGGATTTTCGTGGTTTATTTGGTCCAATTTTGTGTTTTTGTGTTTTACTCTTTAGTTTCGTTTTGTGCGTCTTTTTATTGTGTTTTGCTTCGTGTTTTCTGTGTTTGTGTTTTCAGGACATAGGTTGTGCCGGTCGAGGACGAGTCAGTTGGAGACGAGACCGTGATGCCAAGAATACCCGTCGTGGAGCTCCGAAAGCTGAAGGAAGGACCGAAAAAATGAACTGAAGACTACCCAGAATTTCTCGCGACTCGCGAGAAAGTCACGACTCGCGAGTTCAACAGAGGCTAAAGATGAAGTTCGCGAACACGAGTCGCGACTCGCGAGTCAAGGTCGCGACTCGCGAGACATGTCGCGACTTTCCTCAGATTTTGAAGATTTTTGCCGACGCGTGACTCGCGAGATGTCGCGACTCGCAACCTGAGAAAAGTGGAAGTCGCGACTTGCGAATTATGTCGCGACTCGCGACTTACTCGGCGTGATTTTCGAGGACGGGTTTTTGACATCAGATTTCGGTCATAGGGATGAGAAATCACCTCCCAAACTTAGTTTTTGCGTTTTTCCTCTCTAGAAACTCATTCATTTTCATACTTTTGCTCTTTTAATCAGATTTTGGAGATTGAAACTCTATTCTCTTGCTTTGGATTTGGATGCTTGTGGAATTGACATTGAACTATTTACATTAATCGTACGTTCTTCTTTTCTCAATTGTGTGTTGATGATGATGGCTTGGGGTAATATGAATGTTGATGTTGAATTCCATATGAGTAACTAAATCCATACGCTAGGGATAGGGGATGATTGATTAGGTTCAATAATAGTTGCTTGTTCTTAATTGCTCATATCTATGCGAGTTGTGCTTGTCCTAGGGTTAGTAGATTGATCACCTTTCTAACCTAATAAATCAGCGTGTAGAACCGAGAGGGGAGACGTTGGTTGATATAGGCTCGTTTAGAGTAGACTTGTTCGTAGCTGTATTGTCTATGCGTTGCTGGAACTAGACATGGCCATTTGCCGGGCCGGGTCGAAACCCGGCCCGGCCCGGCGGGTCGGCGGGTTAGCATATATTGAACCGGGCCCGGCCCGCTGGTAAGTAAGGGCCGGTTCACTGAACCGGCCCTAACTCGCCGGGTCAAAAACCCGGCGGGTTGAGCCGGGTTCGGGTCGGGCCGGCCATTTTTTTAAAAAAACCGGCAGCTCAAAACCCGCGAACCCGGCCCGAACCCAGACCGGCCCGCCGGTTTTTTTTGGATCGAAGGAGGCCCGAGACCGGCCCTCCACAAGGCCGGTTCCGGTTCGAAAACCGGATTTTCCGGGCCGGGTCCGGTCCGGGTTCTGGCCGGTTCGGCGGGCCGGGTCAACCCGTGGCCATGTCTTGCTGGAACTGATAGTTAATCATTCACATTCATTCTCTTGTTCGTAACTGTATTGAGAGTGAACCTCTAAAAGAGAGACAATTCAAGTCCTTTAACCGAGCAATTGATTGTCCGGTAGTTGTGTTGGAACCGAAAACAATTATCCTCGATTCCCTAGCTTTTTAATCATTTGAGTTAATTCACTTACTATTTAAATTGCTTTTTATTTATTTTAAAGTCATTAGCTATAATTGAAACCAAAACCATTGAAATAGAGTGTTTAAGATTTTTTGTTTTTCGTGATCGAATAATCGTACAATTAAATCCAGCTAACCTTCCTTGCGATACGACCCGGGGAACGAATCTTTTGATTTTACTCCGGTAAAAATACTCACAACAAGTGTTGTTATTTGTAGGACTTAATTTGATAGTTTTATAACATTCAGGTCCCGAATTGAGAAAAAAATCTTTCAGGCCCCGAATTGATAGTTTACCTATCTTTCGGGCCTTGTATTGTAAAAACTCCAACAATTAATATATTTAATATTAATTTTTAGGCCCCGACTAGAACCCGACTAGGCGCTGTTCGAGCCTCTAACGACTTTTAAAACACTGCAAAATAAAGAGGAAGTATTGTACAACATAATGGAAACACCTTTTATTGGATTAATGTTCATTATATAAACTAGAGTAATCAATATGCACATTATGGAAATAAAATAAAAATACAAGTGTTACTGTTTTTTAAACTAATATAGTTTCATAAATTATTAATACACTAGTATAACGCCCGTGTATTACACGAGTTTCGCTATTTTTTTTCTTAAAATCTAAAATTAATGAGAAAAAGTATATCACTTTTTAGTATTACACGTGTGCTAATTTTTTTCTTAAAATATAAAGTTAACTATTTAGTATGTCACTTTTTATTTGTGCGACTTATTTGTGTCATATTATAATATTTTTTTTTAACTTAAAACATATAATTACATTAAACATAAATATATCAATTGAGAAATAATTTTATTTTTCTAATAAATTCTAATAAATATTATTATTTTTCATTATTATAAAGATAAATATAATTTATTTATGTTATATATACAATATTGATGTTAAATCGAAGATCATCAAAAGATGATTAATTTGATATATTATATATGTGAAACTGGTAAGAAATACAAAAATTATCAACTTTTAAAATACATTTACAATCCAATAGCTAATTTTAGGAAACAAATCAAAAGTCAATGATATATTAGTCACTTAGTGACTCACTATGTAAAAGTATAAAGAAATAAAGGGTTATATTAGTACAAATGATATTAAAATACCTAAGTTAGCTAAATATAATTTATAGAATATCCAAACCTAGATTATTAATTATTAATATATCAATATTATTTGTTCAGACCTAATTACGAATAGGATCATGCTACATGTACCCCCTGGATGTAAACCAAGTGGTACACCAAGGGGTACAAGTAGCATTTTTCTTACGAATAACATGATTTTTCGCCAAGTAAGATTCCAAAGTAACAGAAGCAACCAAGTAGGTTCAGCGTATTCGAGAATTATATACAAGGGATTAGTGTTTTGATCAAATAAGTTCTAGTTATAAATACAAATTAACTTTGTGTAATTATTACATGCTTTCTTTCAATTTTAGTTAGAACTAATATGTTTTCCTAAATCTTGAACTCATTTTGCGCCATCAAATGTGTTCTAGTTACTATAAAATTTGTGTAATTATTGCATATTTTTTTTCATATATTAGTTCGAACTAATCTCCTCTTTGAATCATTGACGGATTTATGATTTTAAATGAGTTTTAGTAATATTGCAAAATTTGAATAATAATTATATACATTTTATTATATTAGTGAAAAATGAATATTTTTATTATTATTAGCATCAACTCAATAATTAATTTTTTTTCGTACGAGAAAAAAAAAAGTGAATTTAATTAATATTTACCAATACTGGAACTTTTTTAAAATATATATTATTTGCTCATTTTACCATTTTTTAGAACTATGAATTGAGATGGTTTTATAATTTATTTTCTTCACAATATTTTTCTTAAAATTGAAAACTTTATCAACTTGTGCAAAAGTATAAATGTGCCCATATTTATTTATCTCTAATAACAAGACGAGAATAATTCAATCAGCCGTTACAAGAATTAAAATTATGCAGCCATATTGAATTTTAACCATTAAAATTTGAGATGCGGCCTTATCCCATATCCAACCTTAAGTAGTAAATTATGTATATTGTAATAGAATTTGCTGTGGACTATAAATGCATGTACAAAAATTGCAAAATTTTCTACTATAAAATTAAAATCACACCACATAAAATTGACAATTTTGCACCTAGCCACAATTTCGGGTGCAATACATAAACAGCATGAATATCGTGACTCATTAATGATATAAATTTTACTTTATTGTGATTTTCCCCTACTAAAACAGTTAAATCTCATATAAGCCCAAAGTGCCTCAAAAGAATTAGTGTTGACATCATCCTTTTGAATGCCGAGGGGCAATTCGGTAATCTTCACAATTTTTCCACACCCTGAAACCCCTCTATAAAATCCCCACAACGCCCTCACATTATCGCTCGCATCGCCGCTTCGCACACATAAACTAGGTGAGAGAGAGAGAGAAAAACAAACAAAAAACACACAGAAGAAAAAACAAAATAAAATAAAAACAACACACGCACTCACTGTGTGAGAGAGAAATGCGTCCGGCGCCCTCAGCCCCCAAAACGACGGCGTCCTGGCACTGGGACTCGCCATTGCCGTACCTATTCGCCGGTCTGGGACTCATGCTGCTGCTGATCACGGGCGCCCTCCTCGTGCTCGCCTGCTCCTACCGGAAGCGCCAGTCGCGCGAGGCGGATTACGGCGGAGATAAGCCGGCGCAGCCGCCCGTCGCCGCCTCCGGCGGCGGAGATACGCCGAAGATCGTGGTGATCATGGCCGGGGACGACAACCCCACGCATCTCGCGGTTCCGATCAAGGTTTAATGTGTACGATGACCGGCGATTGGAGATTTTTGAGGGAGGGGAAAAAAATTTTTTGTTCTATCTAACAAATATTATAAATAACATTTTTGGAGTAGGTTATAATTTTTATTTTTAATTTTATTTTTATGTTTTTTTACTTTTAATAATTTGTGGAGGTTCCATTTTGTTATGGGGAATTCTTCCAGTGAAAAATGTAAATTGATTGATGAGAAAATAATGAGATAATATTTATGTGTTTTTCTATATTAAATTATTAATCTGTTTATTTTGTGCAGATAAAGAAATTAATTAAAAATTCTGATTAAATATTTGGTGGGTTTAATTTGTCCTAATTTTGGTGAATAATAAATATAATTAATTTAGGAGGAATATGATTCCCAGATAACATTAGTAATGTAGAGGGATAAGATCAAATTAAAACTTGAATTTAAGCTTTTGATGGCATCATTTTATAGCTTTACCTAATCCATCAAAATCAAAAAATAAGTTTAATTCCCAGGAATATTAGGCCTACACCATAGGTTTGTAATGTTGGAATTTAGAGTAGTCATAATTATATTATCATAAATTCGCCATTTTTCAATACGAAATTCTGTATCTATATAATGATTGATTACGTTTTATCTTTATATTGCGGTTCGAATAATTTTTTTTTTATTTTATTTTATTTTATTTTTTTTTTTTTTTGTCTGTCCT